GTTACGTTTTAGACTCTACTGGACATTTTTGAAAATGTTTTTGTGGAGCAAAACATTGGAAGTGAGTTAAGGGGGTTGAGGGGCTGGAGGTATATCTAAAATTTTCGGCCTCAAAATATTAATGCGCTTCCATCCTCTGGGGCTTTACGCAGCTATTGGACATATTTCACAAATAATATTCCCAGTATCTTTGCCCTATATAAGTCAGCACGATCAAACGAAAAGGGAAGACATTTTGCGTAGATTATGTTTCCCAAAATTCTTTTGAGAGCGGAGAGTAGGAAATTTTCTCGGGCCAGCAAAATCTTAAATGTGGTAGACAAAATAATGCTGAATATGGAAAACGGCCTGGGAACTGCAGACAAAGTAAACTTCTTCCTAAGAGGGCCAATATTATAGCGGTTATATGTAATCTTTTACGAAATGATGACAGCATTGAGTGAGAAGTGCAGATTCAACGTACTTGACGACATTTTTTCCGTTTCTCCCGACTTTTACGTCAAAATACTAATGGTATTTAGTACTGACCTACTAGCTGAGAGCCCTGCCTCCGTCTTGAAACTTACTTATCCGTTATTGGGAATCAATTAGTCGAAATTTTGTGATTAAACGGAGATGCTCGTCAATTTGCAATTGCTGGTCGGTGAACGTCAGGTAACATTTGGTGGGAATCGGTGACGATTTTCAGGAACGTGTCGGGACCACAGCAGGCTCCGCTTAATTGATCGGAAACCTACCTTTAACGATAACGCGTTTTCACAGATTCGAATTACCGTTCTCCCATCTGCAGTGACGCACTTGAGGACATTAAATGGAATTGAAATGGCATTCAACGAAATTAGGTATGGAGAAAATTGGATGGCTTTTGATCACTAGTGGCTATTGTAAATCACCTTAAGGGGAAAAAGGCGTTCAACTACAGCGTTACTGGTAATTCACTGCAATCCTTTCAGGACCTAAAACGTACAATAGTTTAACTCTACACAAATAATATACAGGGTGACTTTTAAGTGTGGACTCAACGATAACTCCTTTATTACGCTTGGTATCTAAAAATTTTTATTTCTAAAAGGGGTTTCATAACTACGTGGTGATCCATACATACATTTTTTAAATAGAAAGACTTATACTTTATAGCAGGTTTGGATAATCTCTTCTAAATGAAGCAATTTTATAAAACATACTATAGGGCCTTGTTATCAAATTGTTGATATACTGAACATTCTATTCAAGAAAACACTAACGTTAACATCTCGCACCTTCACAACTATTGTATTGTATTGATTAATGCATTTTTCGTCAGAAGAATTTAATGGTCCCATATTTTCTCCTTCTTCTTCCTCTACTTATTTTCTAGTTTTTTCATAGTGTATATAGGGAGGTCAAATACGCAAATTGGATGATGTCTCAAAATTTTCAATGGATTGAAAAAAACGGCGGTAGTGTATGCAGACTAACGTCCGAGACATAAACCGAACAGCTCCGACCCGACATCGGCCGATAAATGGGCTTTGGTGTACGCGTACCCTTACAGTCGAAAGTTATGAAGTTGTTCCTCTATTTGTAGTAACTCAAAAGCCAGTCGTACAAACCACCACAAACCGTATATACGAATAAAACTTCGGAAGCCATACAAGATTTCGGTCGAAATAATGTGCCCAGTGTCAACGCCATTCATTAGTTGGTGCCGAAAATTCGAACAAACAGGTGAAGTTGAAGACTTGTCAAGGTCGGGCCGAGTTCGAACTGATCGTACTATCGAGATAGATAGAGAGAGAGTTCGTGAGAGTGTAGTGGAGCACCCTGAGACGTCT